GCTTAGTGACCCATTCTATCCCCAGATGTCAATCTAGGCACTTCTATTTCTCTAAAACGTTAATATTGTGATGCGATGCTGTCAGCTTCACTGTCTCCAGCACTGGGCTGGAAATCAGAGTATCAGGGCTAATTGGTTTTATCCATAGATTGATTTTGAATGATCCCATTCAGCAACTATTAAGGACACATGATGTGGCAGCCATTGTGCAAAGGTGCAAGGTGAGAGGAAAACAAAATTAACCACAGCTACTGCCCAGCACCTGACACTGTGTCTGTACCGAGAGCCTGTCCACAAATGTTTGTTGCGTGAATAATATCAGTATATACTGCATACTTGCTCTATACCAGGCACTGTTCTAAATGTTTTCGGTGTGTCAGTCATTTCATTTTCACACCAACCCTATATGATACGTGTGTATTATTGATACCATGACAACTTTATAAATGAGGAAAGGGCACAGAGTAGTTTAGCAGTTTCTCTGTGCTCACATAGTTGTCTGATTCCAGAGGCTTCAATGAGTGAAACTGGACAAGCCTATGTTTGGAAAGCAGGGGTAGGGGGAATGCTAAAATTTGTATCCAGGTCCCATGGTAAAGATTAGCATGTGTGAGCTATAATTGAAGCATATGAGTTGAATGGAATTGAATTGAAATAAACTGAAGTATAGAAAATTTCAAAAGGTGAGAGACTGATAAAAATCAAAGAAGCATGTAGAGGGCAGATAGGAAGTATTTGACCTGGAATTTGGAAAATTAAAACTTTTTCTCATCACGCCAATGTTCATTTAAATTTTGTTAACTAGCTTGTTTATTGATTATCACATCCATAAAACATGTCATGTCTATGAAACTTCAACAGTACAAACGAGTATTTAGTGAAGACTAATCTCCCTTCCATACCTCATACTGGAGGCAACCACTGTAGCCAGTTTCTTGTGTGTCTTTCCAAATGTATAGGTCTTCGTGTTTGATAAATTGGTAGGGTGACTATAGTTAACAATCATCTATTGTACATACCAAAGTAGCTGAAAGAGAATAATTCACATGTTCTTAGCATAAAGAAAAGAGAAATACTCAAGGTGATACATATCCCAATTACCCTGATTTGATCTTTACACTTCATATGGGTGTATCACAGCACATGTACCCTGAAAATATGTATATCTATTATGTATCAATTTTTAACATGGCAAAGAATAAATCAAGGCTTAAAGATAAAGAGGGTAGGGAAATAAAACTTATCTGGACCTTTCAGTGTCCTGGTGAAGAATACTAGCTTCCTGATGCTTTTTTCATACCATGATAATTAAATCTGTAGACATTTGTATAAGTAATTGCTCTGATCCAAATGAATAATAAAACTTTTCCCAAGAGGACAAAATGGTTACATCCTGAACAAGGTCCCTAGGTTAAGTGCCCAAGGTGTCACTATCTCCTAAGCAGGACAGCATAAACTTGTGCCATCATTATGCAATATGCAAGAGGTAACGCGCCCCAGGACCTGGAGACGAGTCCCAGGACTTGCCGTAAAAGCTAAGACATGTCAGGGACTGTCTGGCTCCTGGGAGATTTATTTACCCACCAAAGTGTTGGAGTAAGGAGAAGACCTTTAGGAAGGGGAGTGGGGATAGCCGCATCCTTCACCTTTATAGGTAGGGAAAATAATTTGTGCTTGTTTCTTGCCTATGGAGTGTCTGGTTACTCACATAGAACAATTGACCTTGATTTTCATCACATCATCCTAGGAGGAAGGGAGGCCAAAGCATTTACTCTTTACTGTGAGTCATTTAATAAGAAAATTGACTCTAATCTAGAATATCTCATGTGCAGATTGAGAAGGAGTATTCCATAAAAATCCAACCTATCCAACCTATTTATTTGGGGCTAAATTTTTAATATTCATTTTTAATGATTTTATTCCAAATCTGCACATGCAGAGGTAAAGTGTTTCAAGTGTTCGGGGGAATGACAAGTGGTCCGCTGTACCTGAAGCCTAGAGTTCATATTTAAGGCACTTCCATGTCCTCAGCTGGCAAGTGGGGAAAAGGGTCCCCACCACTTTCCTCCGTAACATACCTCTTAGGGATGTTCTAAAGGCAAATCAGAGTACATTCTGATTTTGGAGTGAGAAGAACTTGGACTCTGTGTTGTCATTAGCTCATTCATTCATTCATTCATCCCATTCCGTTTTATTAATTCACTTGGGCAACAAGAATTTACTGAGCTCCAACTATGTCCCAGGTGGCTGTTAGGGATACTGCAGTGAATAAAACAGACACAGTCCCTACTGTTGGAAGCTTTTAAGAGTAAGGGATTACGGGCATTGAACCAGAGTTGAACATGTGGTGAGTGATATGAAGGAGTGCATTCGTTGTCCATTGGAAGCCTGTGGCAGGAAAACCCAACCTAAGCCAGGAGTCAGGAAAGTCTTTCCTATGAAAGAGATGTCAAAATGGAGACCAGCAGGATGGAAGTTGTTAGCTAGGCAAGTAAAGGGTGGTAATAGAGTCTAAGTCTAGGGAAGGTACATGCTAATAGTCTAAGATAGAACCAGCAGTGTCAAAGAATAAAAATAGGACTTTGACTGATGGGGATACAGTTTAAAACGCAAACCCAGACAAGTTGTCTTTTCTTTCTGAGCCAAAACTTACTAAAAGAACTGTGGAGCCCATGAGTTCTGTTCCTTCTCTACCTGAAAGAATGCTGTAGCAAGGTGCTAAAAGCACCTGTGAAAGTATCAGGGCTCGGCAAAAAATGTAATACAATAAAATAAAAAGGGTTACCATTAGGTAGAAGCCCATCTTGTGAAAGGGTTGGCTAAATCCTACTATTAATAATTTTTGGTCAAATTCCATAGGCCCATGTGAATCACTCACTTTTCGAAGTAGAATCACCCATGAAGGAAAGTGAGTTGGTGTTAACAGCTACACGTTTCCTCCCAGACTCTCTTAGTAAACAAGGGCTGACTGAATCACAGACACACTGGAAAACACTCATCAGGCGGCAGGATGTTTCAGGAGCAGGGACGCCACTTGAGGGGTTTTATGAACCACTTTAAAGCCCCCACTTATTTTTCCACGTATGCTTAGGTGAGGGTGATCTCAAGTACTCCCTCCAGACCCCGACACTCACACACTCAGGCGTTGCGTCATCATTCTTGATGTGGGTTATGGGGTGCAAGGGTCTCTTCCTGAAAAATTTTTGGTTTCACTCCTCATGACTGAGTATGCATAAACCACTCAGCCTCTCTCATCTGCCCCTCCCTTTTCCTCTTTCTCCTGTTTTCTTTCTTTTATTTTGTCTTTGATTTTTTTGGTTATTCCCTACCTCTCTTATATCCCTCTTTCTCCTCCCCCCACCAACTCCAAGTTCTGAAAGCAACCAGGGTGCAAAGAGTCTGCAGGGTCAGGTGGGAAAGGGTGCATGGGACCCATTGTGGGGAGTGGTGGTGATGGGTTATGGTCTGAAAATGGGAATCTTTATTCTTTTTTTTCTCCCTATCAAAGTTGGCCTTAAAAATCAACACTATGCCACCAATTCTTAATCTTGTTTTGAATCTTAGATCTCTTTAAGAGGTGGCATTTATGGATGTGCTCACAGAAAAATATACATATGCTCATCTACACAACTTTTTATACAGAAGTTTGGAAACTCATACTTTCACATATGGCTCTAAATTTTTTCGCATTTCTTTATACATAGAAGTTTAGGTTCAGGATTCAAGAGGTTACTCTCTTAGGTACTATGCCTACACTTCAGGTATGTGGCCACCAAAGGGGTCACATTATCTAGACATTCAGGCATCTGTAAGTGTGGCTGGAAGAAAATCCAACATGCTTCCCAATTTATTAATGTAAAAACAACCGCCACCACAATAACTATACTGTTCCTCATCTCATCAAGCAGCAGGGGAGAGCACTCTGTTTTAAGGTTAATGTATTAGCAATATTTTAAAAAACAAATGCCTAATTGCCTTTCTCATTTTTCCTTAACAATTATGAATTTCAACCACTCGAATCCTGATTTTAGCCCAGGTAGATTGCTTTTTCTTCTTCCCCAGTCACTGAATCTTCAATCTACTGTTAGCTGAGCTCTTTACTGAACGATGTTGGGATTTCAGGGTATTTTGGTAATGAGAATTGGCCAATGTGTCCAATTTTCCAACAGCTCATCTTAGCCACAAGTCAGTTGTCAAAGAGTCTCTTCTAGGTAGCTGCATTACTTAAGCTGATGGTTCTATTTTACTCTTCTGACTTTCTTATCAACTAGTACAATCTATGCTCTCTTTGAGTCATGGGCTCCTTCTTTTATGAACACTAGCTTATGATTATATATATACATACACACATATACATATATATATATATATATATATATATATATATATATATATATGTTAGACAAAGCTGAATAAGAGGCTTTGGTCAGGTAAGATGGTTTTCAGCATTCATAAATTGAACAGATGTTTATTAAACGCCTCCTATGTGCCAAGCACATGGCACCTGTTGGTAGGTCCTGGGGTCAAAATAGTGAACAAAATGAAGTTTTTCCTCCTGAGGCATTTGCAATTCTAGTGGGAGAGACAAAAATAAAGCAAACAAATATATAATATAAGGCAGTGGTAGTGCAGAAATAAACAGAAAGCTATTTTAGATAGATGGTCAGAGGAGGACTCTCAGAGGAGATACTGTTTTAAGCAGATACCTAAAATAAAGTGAAAGAATGAGCTATTGGCCTGGTGCGGTGGCTCACACCTGTAATCCCAGCACTTTGGGAGGCCAAGGCAGGTGGATGACGAGGTCAGGAGTTCAAGACCAGCCTGGTGAAGATGGTGAAACCCCATCTCTACTAAAAATACAAAAATTAACGGGGCATGATGGCAGGCGCCTGTAATCCAGCTACGCGGGAGGCTGAGGCAGGAGAATTGCTTGAACCCAGGAGGCAGAGGTTGCAGTGAGCCGAGATCATGCCACTGCACTCCAGCCTGGGCAACAGAGTGAGAGTCTGTCTCAAAAAAAAAAAAAAAAAGAGAGAGAGAGAAGAGATTATCCAGAGAGAGGAACACCAAACCAAAAGCTCTGAGATAGGAATGTTCTTGGTGGGCTTAAGAAACAGCCAGGATCCCGTGTGGCCATAGCGCAGTGAGCAAAGAGGACGGCAGGAAGCGGAGTTGGAACAGTGCCAGGGACTGGGTCTGCAGGGCCTTTGAAGCCATATCAATAAAATATGGTTTTATTCTATTGGTGCCAGAAAGCCATAGAAATGTAAAAGCAGGAGAGAGACAGAATAGGACAATCTTTTCTTTTAGGTTTTAAAAGATTACCCTATTCATCGTACGAATGCAGGGAGATCAGCTGGAAGAAGATGGCAGTACCCAGGCCTGGGATGATGGTGGTGGAAATGCAGGAGGTGTGAAGGGCTCAGGTAGCAGACATATTTTGAAGTCAGAGCCAGGAGGATTTGCTGTTAAAATGAGTGTGGAGCATGCGAGAAAGAAAGGAGTCAAGGATGTTTCCAGTGTTTTGTCCTGAGAAACTGGCTAAATTACAATGTTTGCAGAAGGTGTTTTGGAACCAAGAGTTTGTTTGCTAAGTTGGAAATGCCCTTTGGACCTCCAAGTCCTGTCTTGTGTAGGCAGTTGGGAGTACAGTGAAGGGTTTGGTTGGGAGATATACGTCGGTAGCATCCCACAAATATGTCAGACTGTGAAACTGGGTGAGAAACTGGATGAGTGTGGATGAGGATGAGAACTCTGAGTAATGGGATGCTCCAGTATTTAGAGTTCCGGAAGAGCAGAAGGTTCCTGCCAAGAAGACTGAGCAGAGGCAGCCTATGGGATAGGAGAAAAACCGGGAGAGTGTGGTGTTTCCCGAGCGAAATGAAGACAGCGTTTCAAGAAGGAATGGATGAACTATGTCAAGTACCCCTGAGAAAGCAAGTAAGATAAGAACTTTGACTTGGCTTAGTGGAGTAGACAGTGACCTTGACAAAAGTGGTTCCAGTGAGCAGTCGGGAAGAACACCTGTTTATAGTGGGTCCAACAAAAAATGGGTCTGGACATAGGAAAAGAAATTATAAACACACATTAAAGCACTTTGCTGTAAAGGAAAACAGAGTAATGGAGAGGTAGCTGGGGATGGACCTGGGATCAGGGGAGAGATTTTTAATATAAAGGAAACTATAAGTTAATATGTTGTGTATTGATGGAAATAACGTAGTAAAAAAGCTGACAACACGGGGGACAGAGGCAAGTGCTAAAACAAAGCCTTGAAGTAGGTGGGTGCTCCATGGAGGAAGAGGCTGGCCTTAAGTGGGAATGCAGGCCATCCATCCAAGGAGGTGGGTTGAATCAGTGGTGGTAATAAAGGGAAGTTCTCTTTTTGTTTCTTCTGTTTTATTTTTCAGTGAAACAAAAAGCAAAGTTGTCACCTAAGAGAGGAGGGGGAAGGCAGATTGTGGGTTTCAGGAGAGAGGAGGTGTTAAATAATCAGCAGCAGGATCCCTGACAGTGGTTTGAAAGGCTCTTGGTTTTTTGGTTTTTTTTTTTTAACCTTGTTGTTGGCTCAGCTTTTTTGAAAAAGCTCACTGTCGACATTATTAACGATCTCAGGGTGTTTTGTAGAGAGAGGATTCCACAGCTTGAACATGGGCTTTCCCCTTCCTGACTCCACATTCCTTGGATTTTTTTGTTTTTCTCATGACCTGAAATGGTTCCTGGGGCCATGAGCTCAGAATCACTTTCCTTTGCTCTCCATTCTTCATCCTATATATTCAATGGTGGAAAAAACCCTGGTAGAGGAATTAACAGACCTGGATTCTAGTCCTGACTCTCCCACTTACTAGTTAGGGAAGCCATTTAACTTCTCTGTGCTTTTTAGATGCCAGAACCATAAATCTGAGTTGATAAAGACCCAGTGCTCTAGTTAGTCTATACAACTCTATCCTAAGTAATTTTAAGATTTCTATGGAGAGTTTTGAAATATTGAGAATATAGTGGGGAACCTCCTGGCAGTCCTTACAGACCACAAAGGACTTGGCAACCCCAGGGATAGCCCAAGAGGAAGAGGAAGAGCCTCCAGCCTGTCCTTCCTGATCCACAGACACGATGTTTTCTAAAGGCCTTAATAATAAGGGACTCTCTTCTCCTTCCCACAGGTGGGCGCATGATGAACTGCCCAAAGATCGTCCAGCAGTTGGGAAGTGATGTGCTGCTGCCCCTGACGCATGAAAGGATAAATACAAGCATGAACAAAAGCATCCACATTGTCGTCACAATGGCAAAATCACTGGAGAACGGTGTCGAGAACAAAATAGTGTCTCTTGATCCATCCGAAGCAGGCCCTCCACGTTACCTAAAAGACCGCTACGGGTTTCATCTGGAGAACCTGAGCCTGGCTATCCGGGAAAGCACGAAGAAGGATGAGGGGTGGTATTTTATGACCCTGGAGAAAAATATTTCAGTTCAGCGCTTCTGCCTGCATTTGAAGCTTTATGGTAATAATGGCAGCTTCCCCAGTCCACACTAGAAGGGCAAAGTGCTCCTTTGACCAAGGATTTAGGTCTCTCTCAAAAGCAAAGTGTATTCAGAATTGGAAGTAACTTGAATGATCTTCTAATTCAAGGGTATTTAAACCTGTTGCTTGGAAGATGTTTTAAAGGTTGACTTTTTTTTTTCCAAATTGTACATTGATGGTAGCTGATTAAGCATTAGTTACTCTTACTCCCATTTCCCAAAGAAAAGGAGGCCAGCTCCCTGTGGGCTGGGGGGCCTATATCTTCAAGAATCTTGGTTTGCAAATAAGATTTTATTTGAAAATAGGATTTTTTTTTTCTGATTAAAAAAATTGAATACCACAGATGAAACCCAGCCTCTCTCATACACGAAGACACTGAAAGCTAGCCAGAAGCGGTTAGTACATTTACACACATTTGTGTGGGTGTTTCACTGCACTGGGGTTCTGGATAAAGAAGGCTGAAATCCAGCCCACATGCCACTTGCTAAGCCCTGCATTCCCACACCAGATCACACCTACCTGGTGGAAGGAGTGCCTTTTCACATTTAAACAAAGGCTTTGGTTATAAAGTCTCTTAGTTGCTGTACTTAAACTAGGAACCAGGTCCACCTGAATCCAAGGCCAGTGGTTTTTTTGGGCCTCTTTAACTTCCACTTCCTCTTGAGTGCACTCAGGGATTGTGTCTCTTAGACCCAGAGGCTCATCTGAATTCCCAGGGGTCCTGATAGCCATGTGGGGCTTTTCTGTTTCTTCAAAATGACATCCTTATCTCTGGGGATAGGACAGGAATTCCCGCCTACCTAGCATTTGTTTGAAATTCTCAAATATCTAGAGGGAAGACAGTAATACTTTCACACGCCCTCCCTCGCCCTGGCATTTCCTTCCTTCAAACAGTCCCTGCAGAATTCCCCTAGACACCTGAGAGTCACTGCAACAGTGACTCCGGGGCAGGATTGCCATGAGCATGGAGGCTGCACAGGATGCATTTTCCAAAACAGTGTGGATGCCACACATTCCATCCTTTTGTTCCTAGTTTCCTGTTTTTGTCACATCTGTGATCAAATTCTTACTTTGGAAAATGTGGCCTCTGCAACCATGGCATCAAGCCAAAGGAAGAGTTTGGCTTTTGCAGTAAGACAGTTCTAGGTTCAGATCTTCATCTGGCCACTTAGAAGCTGGGAGATGTAAGACATTCCACCTCCCTGGGACTTGGCTTTCTCATCTATGAAATGGGAATAATTATAACTAGAGTTATAATTGTTGAGAAGATTTAAAAAGATGATAAATGAGCACTGCGCTTGTCCTATAATAGTTGCTAAATAAGCAAGATTTTACCTTTTAGCCGGCCTATTTCGTGGCCTTAGAGTGGGATAGACTGATGGGGTCTATGGCTATCATTGAGGACCTATCTCTATCTCAGACACACAAAAGCACTTGCTACACACCCACCCACTCACCCATGCACAGGCATGTGTTTGCACGCGCACATGCACACACACGTGCATACACACACACACACACCCTCCCACACACATCACTATAGATGAAATCCCACCACTAAAAATCATTCTTTTAGGTCTGGGAAGTAAAAACATAAGCCAATTAAAAGCCATAGTGGATTAGTTGACAGCAACTCCACTGATAGGAGACAGGAGAATAGCAACCTAGGTCAAGAACATCAGTAAGGGCGAATGAAGCCCTAACGGTATTGGTAGAAGGGGCCTAAAAAGCAAACTCTTCTTTTCTATTTTATCCCAAGGTCATCTTAGAAAGGGTGTAGTGGGCCATGAAGAACAGTGTGAAGCAATAGAGTCCCCACTAGAAATAAATCACACTGAGGGAGAGGGAGAATGCCATTAGTCTGTACTTTGTCCTAACAAAAAGGTCAAGTGAGAATTCCCAGGGGTTCATTTCAGTGATGGCTCCCTTCCTCCTACTCCTGACAGAGCAGGTCTCCACTCCAGAAATTAAAGTGTTAAACCAGACCCAGGAGAACGGGACCTGCACCTTGATACTGGGCTGCACAGTGAAGAAGGGGGACCATGTGGCTTACAGCTGGAGTGAGAAGGCGGGCACCCATCCACTGAGCCCAGCCAACAGCTCCCACCTCCTGTCCCTCACCCTCGGACCCCAGCATGCTAAAAATATCTACGTCTGCACTGTGAGCAACCCCATCAGCAACAGCTCCCAGGACTTCGTCCCATGGCTCAGATGCAGGAAAGACCCCTCAGGTGAGTGCGCTGGTGGCAGCCTGTGTGCCACCTTAATGAGCATGGGCTCAGTCTTCACCTGGCCCAGTTGCTCCCCAGCCATGGCATTCACCTTAGTAAGAATACTTCCATATTCTTTATAGTTTGCAAAAGTTGTCCATGTGCATTTAGTGAGCTCACTCTCATGTTGACCAGGGTGGCATTATTATGCCCGGTTCACAGTAGAGGAAACCGACAGGAAATGATACAGCCAGACCAAGAGCCTAAGACTCCAAGGCACAGCCTTCTTCTCTGCCTCTTTCCTTGGCTCCAACCTGCAAGGCTGGCTGGGTGAGGTGGTGTAGGTGGGAGGCCTGGCTCCCAAGTCTATGCTCTACTAATGCTGGGGCAGTTCTACACCATCAATAAGTATTTATTGATCACCTGCCTGATACGAAATGGTGAATAAATATTATGTGTGATCTCTAACAGTTCCTTGTAAAGATAAGACACGAAACATTTGCTCGATAGTGAAGCACAAGATATAATGAAGGGCCTTGTTTCATGGAATGGACTTGTTTATGGGAATGAATCCCATAGCAGGACCAGGGGAGTCAGAAAGAGAGACTAAGAGTTGGACTGTGAAGTTTGACGAATAATGATAAGTTGCATAGCGCTTTATCATTAGCAAAGCACTCTCAACTGTATAATCTCTTTTGATCCTCACAATAACCTTGCCAGATAGGTGTTATTATACTTTCATTTTACAGATGAGGAAATTGACGTTCATAGCATTTAAGTACCCTCCTCAAGCTTTTAAAATTGTAAATACTGGAGTTAGCCCCTAAACCTAAATCTTCTGACTGCTCTTTCTCTAGAAAGAAAAGTGTCATTATTCTGTCAGCAAAAGGAAGAGAGAACTTAATAAGTAAGCCCATCTAACCGCCTGGATACAGGATAGAACACAGGCCCTTTTCACCAATAGATCTTGTGTCCCTGCCTCAGGCAGGTTCAGGGACAATAGGACCAGGGTGCTTGCTCTGCAAGGCATTGCTTACACTCTGACTTTCTCCTCTCTGCATCCACTGTGGGTACATAGGAATCACTCCAATGGGTCTTCTGCCCACAGTAGCCATGGTGCCCATGTGGAGAGCTTTCCCAGGTGGTCATGGATGAAGGGACAGGGGAATTCAGCCAAGTAATGCCCTTCCACATAGCACTACCTGTCACAGAGACTCCCCTGGAGTATTTCCAGATAGACTGCTGGGAAATCCCACCTGGCATCCTGTGTGCACCTGGGAGTGCTTTAGTGAGTCTAACCCACTGCTTATGTTTCTTCCCCAGCCATTTCATACCCAGAGTCCCCAATCTGTTCACTTACTGGCTGTGTCTGGCTGCTTGCCCACCTTGCAGACAAACCACATTCAGAGGCTAATCCCCAGTTCAGAGCGCTCTCCCCACCCAGTCATTTAGAAGGTGCTGGCAGGACAAGCACGCAGTGCAACATAGTGGGTAGCTTAGAGAATGTGGCCCCGGAAGTTCTAGAGCCAATGCTGCCCTCTCTGCTTACAAGGGTAAGTCCCTCAACCCCTCATCTGTAAATAACAACAACTGGTGGGTCATTATGGTTTACTAAGTGCCAGTTATGTGGTATCTCAGTTAATCCGCACAGCAACAAAATAATATAGCCAGTATTAGTATCCCACTTCACAGATGAGGAAACAAAGCTATAGAAAGGTTAAGTAAGGTCGCACACAGAGCAAGTGATGGAGCTAGGCTGTCCGATTCTGGAAGCCTTATAGGTATTGATAATGCCCCTAAAATGCCTTATAAACCATAATGAAAGTGTAATTTTAATTATAAAGACTACAAAAATACAATGTATTTTTAAAATTTAAATGAGGAGGCAGTAGCCCTTACCTCAGCACAGCCCTCTCTGGGTATAGCTGCCCTATAAGAGTGCAAAGACAGGACACTGAATATTTTCCCCTGGCCTATCCCCAAAAACGGGCAGAACTTTCGTCATGCTCTTCGATGTAGTTTGAAAAGAATTTAATTGGTGCATACCAAAATGTTGGTGGGCCATGAAGCTCACACTAAGGGCACTTGGCTCAGGACGTTCTGAGAAAACACGTGAAGATGCACTTACCCATCTAAGCCACTCTGAGGACCAAATATACACCAGTGGGAACCCGATTTACTGAGTAGGAAGCAGGTTCTTGCGAGGAGCGAGGGACAGGAAGCAGTAGAAACCTGGTACCACAGGAAGGGCCCTGTCAGTTAAGAGAACTGTCCAGCTGTTTCTCTCTCTTGGGTCTCTGTTTCATCCTCTGTAAAATGAAAAGGGCGAACAAGCGAAGTCCCTCCCAGAGTCGACAGTCCTTGATTGAGTGTGTGTGTGTGTGTGTGTGTGTGTGTGTGTGTGTGAATAAGAACGCAAATAGAGGCTTGCCACCATGTACGGGTTTGCTAAGGTTGCTGTAACAAAGGGCCGCACGCTGACTCAGTTACTCGCACAAAGGACGGAGTGGCTTAAACAATCAAAACGTATTGGCTCTCGGCTCTAGAGGCTAGAAGTCTAAAGTCAAGGTGTCCACAGGATCGTTTTTCTCTGAAGGCCGTGAGAGAAGGATCTCTCCTGGGTCCCTCTCCCTGGCTTGTCAATGGCTGTCTTCTCCTTGCCTCTTCACATTGTCTTCCCTCTGTGTGTATTTCTGTGTATTTCGCCTTCTTCTAAGGACACCAGTCACATTGGATTAGGGCCACCTCTCTTAGTTTGCCAGGGCTGCCATGATAAAGTACAACAGATTGGGTGGATTAAATAACAAAAATTAAATTTTCTCCCAGTTTGGGAGGCTGGAAGTTCGAGATGAAGGTGTTGGCAGGTTTAGTTTCTTCTGACGCCTCTCCCCTCAGCTTGCGTATGGCCACCTTCTCACTGTGTCCACACCTGGTCTCTCCTTTTTGTGCCCACACCCCGGTCTCTCTCTCCTCTCTCCTTTTCCTGGTGTCTCTTTGTGTGTCCACATTTCCTCTTCTTATAAGGACACCAGTCAGGTTAGATTAGGGCCCACCCTAATGACCTCTTTTTAATTTAATAACCTTTAAAGACCCTGTCTTCAAATACAGTCACATTCTGAGGTCCTGCAGGGCTTCAACATAGAAATTTGTGGGGAGACACAATTCAGCCCCTGACACCACTCTAATGACCTGTTTAACTCTATTAACCCTGTAAAGATCCCGTTTCCAAATAAGGCCGTAGTTTAAGGAAATGAAAGTATTAATTTGGGGAAACACAATTCAACATGTAATACAAGTAGAGACGCCCCCTCCCCGCCCTGCCATCCTGCAGGGATTGGGGACCAGGCCCTGCCTCAGAGCCAGATCACACACCTGATTTGTGGCCTGCCCTTCCCAGTATACCAGGTTGCCTAAATACTGAAAACAGAATTTTTTTAGGACGTTGATTTGTGTTTGCAAATGCATAATGAATACTACCAATCCTTAAAACACTGCACTTAGTTTGACAAAACATTTACTGAGTCTCTGCTATGTTCCAACATTGTGCTAGGGGCCGAGTACACAAACACAAAAAAGACATGATCCTTGCCTTAAGGCAGAGGACAGCTGTATAAGTAAATAATGATCCTAGATTAGACAGTGGGACTGACGTAAAACAGAAATATATGCAAGGCAACAAAGAGGAGGGAATTATTAACGCTGTCTCAGGGGATTAGAGAGGGCATCCCAGAGGATGTGACATAAACTGGGTTTTAAAAATCAGTAGAAATTTTCCAAGCTGATGAAAGACATTCCAGGCAGAGGGAGGAGCAGATACAATTGGGTCTTGCTCTGTATTATCTTGTAGGTGATAGGAACTAATACGGAGTTTTAGATAGAGGGGTGTCACCATCAGTCTTGCTTTTCAAAGAGAAAATCCACTGGTATAGAGAACAGACTGGGGCAGAGAAGACGGGGAAGAAAGGGGAGCTGCTTTCTGGGGGCCATTATTGCAGTCATCCATCAGAATGATGGGACCTGAGCTGAAGTAGCAACTGTCAGTCAACAAAAACTTTTTTCCTGGGGCACTCAAAGGGAAATTCCAGCCTTGGGGTGAGAGGGTGGGGGTCTGAGGGTTTATTAGAGGTTGCTTCACCATCCGTCATCAGGACAGTGATTTTAAGACATTTTTCATTTTCATTAATGAAAATCTCCCTGTGGTTAATGATGTGATGAGACGGAATGCAATGTGATGTCAGCACTGTCTCTTGACAGGACTCACTTAAGTTAAACGGTGCAAAAATGTCTATGTTCCTTGAAATCTTTTTCTTTAAGTGACATTTGTCCAGGTCACATACTCATCTTTGTTCCAATCCCCATTTCAGTGTTTTAATGTCTATCATAATGAAGCATCTTTATCGCAAAGTCTGAATCCTAGGGTGCCATGGAGTACTCTGGCTAGGTCATGTGAAGCCAGTGGATGTGGGTCAGCTCTGGACAGTGTGTGACTTGCTGCCATCCTCAATGACTGTATTCTGAAATAGATACGGTTGTGCTAGAATGAAGGAATCTAGAAAGGAATGCCCCTGGAAGCTCATCTTGCAGAGAGGATCTTTTTCAGTAGATGAGCAAAACGCTGGCTCAGCATGTCTGAGTTAACTCAGTGAAAGAAAAGGCTGGCACCTCCCAGTGAGCTCCGGAGCCGTCCCCTTTCTAACAAGGTCATTTCTTCAAACAGGGAGTTCCCATTGTTTCAGAGTCACTTAGAGGTTCCAAGCACAAAGACAGGTCTCTCTCCAGGGTCTTCCCAATTTAGCGAGCCTAACAATGGTGGAAAGAAGAAACCTGGAAACTTCCCACAGCTCAGAGCCTGGTCATGTTGCCACACCCACTCCAAGGGAAGCTGAGACACGTCTCTCCTAGCCAGGCAACCTATAACCAGACAAGACTCATGTTACCATGAAAGCGTGAGAGAAATCACATTGGAGCACAACCAGTAACCTCTGCGATGCTGGGTGGGATAGGCAGGTTGAAAGTGATTT